CATCTTACCCTTCTGTTAATCTTTCTTCTTGGGACAGTCATCCAGTCTTATCACAACTATAATATTGTCTATCACTGGACTTGTCCCAACCCTTACTTTTCTTCTTATCACATTCATTACTCGAGCTACTACTCGAGTCACTACTGCCTCGAGCTTTACCCAGACTCATTTGCTTAAACTTCATTTCACTTATCATATGTACCTTACCACTCATCTTATCTTCTTTCTCAATCTTAATCTCCATCTCAATCTACTTACTCCTAAGAGAATCTATAACAATTTCAAATGTTAAGGTGTCTCTATCATACTTAATTAAATCCTTAACCCCTCTATATGAATCAAATATAGAATTAAGCAAAATAATGACCTTATATGTTTTAGACACATTTTCATCACAATTGATAGTATCTTTAACAAGCTTGTTAAAAATATCCAAATTGTCATCAAAATTTTTTAAATCATCTATTTTAAAATTGAAAAATCTTTCGTCCAAGTACAACTTATTAGGAGTAGACTTAAGCAAATAGAAGTGTTTCGACTTTTTTCAAAGTTTTTTTGTGGTATCAAGTTTACCAATATTTTTGAAAACAATATCTATGTAAAATAATTAAAGTGCAAGCAATTCGTTAGATTCTTCTTTTTATTCTTTTGACAAATTTTCAGAAAATTGCCATTGATGACTTTTGAAACTTTTTGTTGAATCAAAATTCCTCTCATCATTTGTTGCCATGTTGAAAAGTCTTATTTTCCATTGAAAATTCCCATTTCAAAATGTGAAGTCATTTTTGAAAATAGAACCACCAAAATGCACAATTAGGTCACACGAAGTAATCCTAAGGTCATAGTATACACTATTCTAAATTTTCAGGGTTTCGTAAGATTCGAGATCTCTTTATCAAAAGAATGGTCAAATGGGTTAAGTCTAGGAACTCTAATGGAATAATCAATGTAACACAAAGGCATGTCAACAAAAATTCAATTTCCTTCACAATGCAGTCTTACAGCAATGATTATCCCACGTGGTAACCCCAATCCTAATGTCACCTCACACGATGACTACCTAATGCTAAAATTTAAAAGGGATAAGCAAATTTATCAGAGCGGACCAACCTACAGTCCATAAATAACGAGAGATGAGAATTTGCTGCTTTAGGTCCATCACTATTCACCCTAAACTTTAAGCAAATCCAGCAACACGATTAGCCTAAATTTAATCCCGGTGACCAGGGGCAAAATCGTCCAGATTCAATGGTATGACTTGAAACAAAAAACTAATAGCACCAAAATGTTAGAAAAACAATAAGGATCAAATTGCCTGAGAAAAACTTCCCCATACGACGTCGAATGTTCTACATCGGAGATCCCACGCACCACCACTAGCTACAGTTGACTTTATGTGCCACACACGTCGGCACGCCTCCACCAGTATAGCAAGGTTTTGGCCTCCGTTTCACCAAACTCCTTTTGGTTTGCTGAAAAACTTAAGGTCTGGTTTTTGCAATAAATCTAGACAGTTTACTTTGATATGCTTTCTGCTCAATTTCAAGTCATTTTGGCAAAAACTTCATGTAAACCATGCTTTGATACCATTTCTTGTGAAAGCTCTTCAAGAAATCTTGAATTTGGGCTTAGTTTACTCATCAAACAAACACCAACAGAGCTCGACTCGACCCACAACTTTATACACTTCGGTTGCCACAAGTTTTCACCCCCACAAAGGAAGAAGATGGTTGTAGGAAGAAAAGAGGTGCAGGTTGAACCCTCAACGAACCACCAAGATGGTTACCTCACCATTCTCCTCTATTGCGCGCACAACCATAAAATCACTGCTGGGAAGAAAATGAAAATATAGAAAACCAATTTTAGGTCATCCAAATTGCGCCATGAATAAGGTAAATAGGCAACAATAAACTAAAGCCTAAAACAATAAATGGGCTACAAATCCAATATCACCTCCAACCATTACTTGGGACATCCATAAAGTGTTAGGTCACGAGCAACATTAACTTAATTAAATTGCTTCAAGTGCCCCAAGTTGTTTCCTAATCGAGCCATCACTAAGGTGTCGTTATAACTTATCCACATCATTTTAAGATCATCGCCTTTATGGGGTATCCAAAAAATCCAACTCATCCTTTACACATCTCAAGCATTTTGAGTGCTAGGCTTCTGTCGTTAAGACAAGGTGAGGTTTTGAATTTGGTGTTGACTTGAGTTTCCATTTCAACCCTGTGACTACTCCTTTTTGCCACATCACTTGATTCTCCCAATGTATCATGTCATTTTTAGGATGTAAGAACTTTCAAATTGTTGAAAAAGTGAATTCAAGAGTTCCTTCTTATTCTTTTTTTTTTGTTTTTTTTTTTAATTTTAGTAATGGGTATTTAATTATGTTAACGGTGAATTGAAAAGTGTTTTTCCTTATTTTAAGAAAAATGTGCTCATAAGATGATGAAAACGCATTGAATAAGTAGTATAATTTGTAAAGCACCAAAACTATGCTAATAAAATTCAGTTGGCTGGCAACACCAGTATCAATACAATTTCTAGTATTATCACATGCTTTCAATATCTATAACTCATTACTTCTATTTAGGTTGTTTTCACTCTTTATATATGAGAAATAGATAATTTTAAACTTTGACGAGTAAAATCAATCAAATTTAACAACTACAAATTTTTTTTATTCTATTCAGTTTCTATATATATTATTTTTCTTTTAATTCCTAGAGATTATCTGAATTTGGAGCCGAGAGATAGCTGAGCTGCTTGTTTCTTAAGAACAAGAATCTATGGATTCTTAGAACAAAGGTGGACGGAATGTGGGCTCTATAAACATTTACAGCAATTCTTTTTCTTTTTTGAAATTCAAATAGAACAATATTATTAAGGACAATTATTGTGAATAAATGGTGAAAAAAGAATCAGAAGACTATGATTCCAATTAAAATGGAATTAATAAGAAAAGAGGCAAGATGGTATCCCATCTCGAGGATAAAGCAACAAGAACCACATCTTGCATTCTTTAAAAGTGCTCTAATATCTAACAAAAATCTAATTGTTTAGAGAAAGATCACAATTGGACTATGGTCAACACTCCAGGCATCACATTGATCAACCACATCCACACAAAGACATCACATCCCCACAAAAATTGCCCGGCCCATAATCTAGTTCTGCAACATCCTGTGGGGAGAAAAGAGCCCAATGGCTAGGAGTACTATGGTGCCACATAGCCATTGTAAATCCCCACACTAATCTCAATGAATCCATTCTACATGGAAATATAAATGGACCATATTTATTAATGTAATAGAGGAAAGATAAAGAGCATAAGAAATTTCTACAAAGTAATTTTTTGCATATCTCACAATAAACTTGCACTATGACTAACAAACTAAATGAAAAGCACGACGTCGAAAAAACTAAACGCGCAAAATGTGACATTACTTGATAATTGTATAAAAAGATTATTGCTAGTATTCCATCGGCAACCATGTGTAAATATAAGTGACATCATGGAGTGATCTACAGAAAAATGAAATCAATATAGGTTCCGTGTTGTAATCCCCTTATTTTTATAGAGCACAATTACGTTCTCCTCAGAATTTCGTTAATCCATTGAACAATGCATCACAAAAAAAAAAAAAAACCATTCTTTATTTTTAGTTTTATATAAATTTGGGAAGCAAGGAAAAATTGTTTTGGCTATTGTCTTATTTAACTTTATATTATATATTTTCTTGAAGTTCTAAATTTTGCAAAAAAAACTTTAATGCATTAATTATATTCCTACGACTCCTTAAAAAAAAACACAAATCACAATTTTGAATTTGAAAGAAAAGAAATCAAGACAGGTTTATATTAATTTTTCTTTGGTTGCAAGCTTTTTTTTTTTTAGAAGTCAACGTATTTTAATCTTAAGATTTTGTAATAGCTCAGCACACATGATAAGCACGCATTAATGAACGTGTAATCAGTTTTTTAGATGTGGATTTGGTATCGAATTAAAAAGTTGAAGACTCAAATAGACTAGGTTTCACTAAAATGAAGGTACACTACGAGACCATAAATGCAGGCGGAGTTGTCTAGGGGTAGGGTAACGTCATCTAGTGTATAAAATATAAAAACGGACTTTTTGTAATTTGTACAGTGCTTCCATAGTTTGGGTGGATATCAAATCACAGGTATGCTTTCTAATGAGCATGCGATTTGATTTTTTAGTTCATTATTAATGCTAGAGTATTTCTGTAAAAACACTGTTTAATAACAAATAATTCTTCATAATTTTTTGTTGCTGGTGACCAATTTGAATTATCAGTATTAAGTAGTTTTATTACTTCGAATATCTATTTTTCAGAGTAATTAATTTGTTATTTTTGTTTCTTTTGTGTGCACTGGATGAAATTATTTTGTATGGCTTATGCCTAGCTATCCAATAAATTCTCATTTTTTATAAAATAGTTGTATATGCATTGGAATGAAAATGAATTTTGTAAAATAAATTCTCAGCCCTACTTTATGTGATAAGTCAGCCTGGTTTGCCCGTGAATGCAGATTTTGAAAATTTGAAGTGAACAATAAAAATTATCTTTTATTAATCATTTTTTTTTCTGCTTTAAGTATATATAGGTTGCTTATGATCGAACATAGAAAAACATTTAGGAGAGGAATGGATTTTATTGAATTTCATATTTTAGAAATAACAAATTCATTGGATGTATCATTATTACAACTTACCAAATTGACATCATTAATTTTAATTGAAGTTTATAAAAAAAATGATTATTAACTATAATTTTGAAATCTCCAGCTATGATCCACTCATAATTTCTTGAACTCTTGTAGATTATTTATTTAATAGTCCATTGTCATCATATATTACCCATTTTCAAGTTCCTTTGCTCTACTGTTATTGCATTATTTATTTTTTACCCTCTGTGAACCAAGACCATTTATGACATCCGAAAATTTTTGAACTTGGTTTGTAGAGGATACACATGGAGGCTGATACGCACACAAATACTTCGGAAGAACAGCGTGAACCTGAATGGGTACTAGCCCTTGAAGCTTTAAAGGGCAAAGTGCCACAACCTCCCAGGCATAATGGAATGATTGTGCAGTATTTCACTATCAGTGCTGGAGAGGTTTATTCCATTTACTTTTATCTTAATTTGTTGTTGAAGTACTTTGTTTACATAACTATCATAATTTTTATTAGAGTTAATTCTTTGGTTTAAATTTTTTATTTATATGAATTTGTTTTTAGCACGTGACTACGAAATCAAAGAGATTCATTTTCAAAAATCTTTAAAAAATAGGTTCCAAAAACTAGATTTATTCGGGTACCTTTTTCTTATTAGTGCATATATCCCTGCTTTATTCACATGCTGAACTTTTGAAGAAGATTTCGGCCTTGCTATTTCATTATAACATAAACATTTTAGTTATTAATTTTTTTTATTTTTATTTTTTGCCGTTTCATTGTTGGTGTTTGAGTTTTCGGATTTAATCTTGGTAGACTCTTATGAAGAAATTTTTTTGAATGCACACTACGATATGATGATTTAAATTTAAATATTGTGCCATGGTCTTGAGAAATTTGAATGCATTCACGGTGAAATAAAGAAAAAATAAGTGATGCTCATTGACAACAAAAAATGGTTTCCATTGTTGCTTCTATTGACTCCCACTTTCCCTGTATCAATTGTTTGATGGCCAATAATATGTTGGTGGAAGTCTTCATTGACAAAAAATTCTTAAGTGATGGATCTGCTCAAATATTTTTCTTCACGAAATGAAAACCAGCATTATTCTTCTAGTAAATTAATAGTACTTTCCAAGCACATCAAGGTACATTGGAATTCAATTAGAAGGCCAAATAAATGGTGAGGATGTACCACAAGAATAAAATCTTATCTCGGCTATAGAAGGAGATAGTATCGAGTTTAAAAGGAAAGTTGACCACTCTACCTATGTCAACCCCTTACTTTGACAACGTTAGAGGGGAAACATAATAATGACAGTGAAGACATTCTTGTAAAGGTGTGCATTTCTCTTGATCTCTAGTTGGCCAAGTTTTGTTGTTCAATTTTTTTTGTTTTCGCTCCTTCCTCTAGGCCAACACAATAACATTTTGCGTCACATGAACCAATTGCACCTGCATGTTGTGCAAGACAAGTAGTCCCCCATTTATCTGGATGTCCATGAACACAAATTAGGAGAGCTCCAATGAATAGGTACGAATATTATGTGGGATCAAACCTATACACGTGACCCTCCCTTATTTGAGTAATGGTTGGCATTGTCAAATATGTCAAATGTGGGCTGAGAGAATCGGTTGTGCCATCCTTGTCCTCCAAAAATTCTTGAGGATAAAATATAGGATAATTAAACTAAATACGTAATTGTTGTACTAACAAACTATTTTAGAATTCTTCATGCATCGTGTTCTACTATCTTGTTGACAAAATTTCTTGCAGGTTTCCAAGATTTCTTCTTGTTTTCTGATAAGTTTTTTTCTTGTACTTGAGATTTGAAACTTTGAAAGAATTAACCTTAAATTATCAATGTTCAACTTATTACCTCAATATATGAAAAAAATGTTGAGAAAACATTGTAATAGTTATAATTTTTTAGAGCTGATTTTTGGAACCAAGCCACAGTTTCTTTCCCTCTGCACTAGAAAAATTGTCTGCTGCATATTGTGGTCCTTATTTGGTGGATTTGGCTTGGTTCAAAAACTTTTTCAGCAGCACCTCAAACTAGTTTCTGTATTCAGCAGGAGTGAACCTGTAATTTGTCGAAAAGTTAAATTAAAAAAAAATTAATTGAACAATTTGCAAATTCAAGCGTACTTTTGTATTAATTGCCAGTATATTGTCAATTGGAATCTTCATCCAAAAACTACTGATTAGTCTCAACATGTTATTCACGTTATCTTTGATAAAAATATAATTCGATGCATAATTTATTGTTGTTATACTCGTAGGAAATTAAAGGAAAAATATTGTCGTATGCTGGGGAACTCAAGAATTGTCCATTGTTTGAAGGCATCTCACTCAGGGGCAACATTTTGACCGCAACAGGCCAAATCTCCCGGCCCACAATTAATATTCAAGGATCAGATACATCATTCGAGGTAATTTGATTACTTCTTAGTCTGGATCTTTTTTTTTTTTTTGGGACTTTGAAGCTAATATTTTAGCTTCAATACAGGGAATGGTTTTTAATTAACTAAGCACGTTTCTCTTCAGAAGATCCATATGATCTATTATTAATGAAAGGAAGTAGAAAGGACTTATGTGGAGAGCTTAATGCTCGACTTACATAAAATAACTTATGAAACACGATATACTTGAAGTGAAGTTGGGAAGCAACATCTCAATCAAATGACCTGTAGTACAAATAGGCAACCCAAAAACCTAAACTTAAATGCGATCTAGACATAATTCTAGAGATCATCCTCCCCGAGGCTTCTTTCAGTTACAACTGCAAAATCAGATGCAACTACAAAATCAAAATTCCAGTTCTCGAATCTACTACAAAGAATGTCTTCAAAACTTTCCCACTGGGAAAAAAAAAATATTTAGCCTCAGATCCGTTGGCTAATCTATAAATTATTTATGAATAGTTGAACTTCATTTTCATGCATTCCAATGGACGTACGTCCAGTACTTAATTACATCTATTTATAAATTAATTACAACTATTTATAAATTGAACTGTCTATACAATTAGTTCCAAATGAAGGCTTATTTTTATTAATGCAACCACTACAGATAACATTTCTTTATCGTGCATAAAATGACCTAGCTAAGAGTTGATTACTTTTGCTGCAGGGATCATACGAAGTCATCAAACTTTTGGGCATTTACTCAATTCCAAACGAGGGTGTTGTGGAGTTTATTGATAATCTAGTGTTAACTTTTTCTGTGGTTGGTGGTGTTGTTTACGGTGGTCCTGTGATGGGTGAATTAATTGCACACAGTCCTATTCAGGTTTGTTTTTGCCCTTACCTGCTGCTTTGGTTTGTTTTTGCCTTTATCTGCTGCTTTTTTCGTTCTAACATCTTTTCGGGTTATTTTAATTATTTAATCCTTCATGTTTAATTACTCGCTCTAGGAGGTTATTTGAGTGAGTCATAACATGACAGTTCTATTTCAGGTTGTGCTGGGCAGTTATGTATGCGACAATACAGAGTAGAGCAAATCTTTCAGCATCAACTCCTTGAACTATATTTGAACTGTCTTACAAACTATTTTTGGATTCATTTTTCTGATTTTAGTATGTCTTAATAAATTTTCCCGTTTCATTGGTGAAGACAATCCAAGTTGGTGATTTGAATTGTTGTTTTACTAATCTGCTACTGGTTTATTTTTGTTATAAATGTGTGATACCTTGACATCTGGTGTTGAATTTTAATTAAAAATGCTAGCGGTCAATGCAAGCAAAAAAACTTGAGTACTTGTGTGACTCGGTCATCGAAGACGAATGGCATGACTGGCCACATTTTATTTATTTAGAATATTTTTGCAGCGTCACTCTGATAATTGCCCACGCCTTTTTGTCTGATTAATTTCTTAGTAGGTTAATTGGTTTTGTTCGTAGCTTCTTCTGAGCATCCTTTACACAGCCCAAGCATTTCGAGTGCTAGGCATTTGTCGTCAAGACAACCAGAGGTTTTGATCTTGGTGTGTTGACTTGAGTTTCCATTTCAACTTTGTGAGATCCCCTTTCTCCACGTCACTTGATGTTCCCAACGTATCATGTAAAAACTTTCACATTGTTGAAATAGTGAATTGAGTTCCTTCTTCTTCTTCTACTTCTTTTTCTTCTTCTTCTTCTTCTTTTTTTTTTTTTGGCAACGGGTATTTAGGTATGGTATGGGTGAATTGAAGAGTGTTTTACTTTATTTTACGCAAAAATGTGTTCGTAAGATGATGAAAACACATTGAATAAGCATAAATTGTGAAGCACCAAAACTATGCTAATACTAGAAATAGATTCAGTCAGCTGCCAAAACCAGTATTGATACAATTTCTAGTATTATAACATTACAATATCAATAGCCCATTACTGCTATTTAGGTTGTTTTCACTCTTTACATATAAGAAATAGATAGTTTGAACTTTGATGAGTAAAATCAATCAAATTTAACAACTTTAAAATTTCTTCTTCTATTCAATTTCTGTAGATTATTTTTCTTTTAGTTCCTTGAGATTATCCGTGGTTGGAGCTGACAGATAGGCAAGCTACTTATTTCTTAAGAACATGAATATATGGATTCTTAGAACATAAGTAGACAAAACGTGGGCTCTATAAACATTTACAGCAATTCCATTTTTTTAATTTTTTTAAAAAATTCAAATAGAACAATATTATTAAGGGCAATTATCGCGAATAAATGGCGAAAGAGGAATTGAAACACTATCGTCCCAATCAAAATGGAACTAGTGAGAAAATGGGCAAGATTGTAGCCCCATCTCGAGGATAAAGCAACAAGAACCACATCTTACGTTCTTCAACGTTGTTTTAATATCAACAAAATCCAAATGTTTAGAGAGATCATAATTGGACTATCATCAACACTCATGGCATCACATTCAACAACATCCCACATGAAGAGATCGCATCCCACAAAAAAATGCCTGGCCCATATTCTAGTTCTGCAACATCCCCCGATGTTAAGAAGTACTGTGCTTCCCATAGTGGTTTTGAATCCCCACGCTAATTCCAACGAAGGCATTCTAAGTTGGAAGATCAATGGACCACGTTTATTATATTAATAGAGGAAAGACAGAGCATAGCAAATTTCTAGAAAGTGGTTTTTTGCCTTTCTCACAATAAACCTTGACTAACAAACCAAATGAAAGCACAATGTCTAAAAAACTGCATCCACAAAATGAAACTCAACTTATAATTCTAAAAATGATTATTGCTACCATTCCATCAGCAATCGTGTGTATGTATAAGTGACATCATGGAGTGATCTACAGGGGGAAAAAAAAGAAATCAATATAGGTTGCACGCCCTAATGGCGTGGATTCATTATATATTTCTTTGGAATTTCGTAAATCCATTGAAATATGCATCACAAAATATAATAGATTTCATTTTTTATTTTCAGCTTTATATAAATTTAGGAAGAAAGGAAAAATTCGTTGGCTATTGTCTTATTTAACTTTATAATATTTATTTTCTTGAAGTTCTAAATTTTACATACAATTTTTAAATGCGTTAATTATACACCTACGAATCGTTTAAGAAAAAAAAAACACACAAACCAAAATTTTGAATTTGAAAAAGAAGAAATCAAGATAGGTTTATATTAATTCTTCTTTTGTTGCACATTTGTTTTTCAATGTGTTTTTATCTTAAGGTTTTGTAATAGCTCAACACACATGATAAGCACGCAGTAGTGAACACGTAATCAATTTTTTAGATGTGGATTTGGTATTGAATTGAAGAGGCGAGAAATCAAAAAGACTAGGTCTAACTTAAATGAAGTACAACACGAAACCATAAATGCAGGCGGAGTTTTCTAGGGGTAGGCTAACATCATGTCGTGACCCCTATTATAAAATATAAAAACAGCCTTTTTGTTATTTGAACAGTGCTTCCATAGTTTGGGTGGATATCAAATCACTGGTATGCTTTCTAATGTGGCTATTTGAATTTTTAGTTCATTATTAATGCTTGAGTATTTCTGTAAAAACACTACTTTAGAACAAATAATTCTTCATTATTTTTTATTGCTGGAGGCCAATTTGAATTATCAGTATTACGTAGTTTTTTCGCTTCGAATTTCTATTTTTTTGAGTAATTAATTTGTTATTTTTGTTTCGTTTGTGTGAATTGGATGAATTTTTTTAGGGTTTATGCCTTGCTATCCCATAAATTCTCATTTTTTATAAAATAGTTGTACATGCATTCGAATGAAATGAATTTTCTAAAATAAAGTCTCTGCCCTACTTTCTGTGATAAGTCAGTTTGGTTTTCCCGTGAATCCATATTTCGAAAATTCGAAGGGGGCAATAAAAATTATCTTTTATTAATCAATTTTTTTCCTACTCTTGGTTTATATTTACCATTTAAGTATAGCTAGGTTGCGTATGATGGAACATAGAAAAACATTTAGGACAGGAATGGCTTTTATTGAATTTCATATTTTAAAAACAAAAATTTCATTTTATATATCATTATTACAACTTACAAAATTGACATCATTAACTTTAATTGCAGTTTTTCAAAAATTGATTATTGACTATAATTTTTTAAATCTCCAGCTATGATCCACTCTTAATTTCTTAAACTCTTTTAGATTCTTTACTTAGGCCATGTTTGACTCCCATTATTTTAAAACTAATTTTTTTCTCAAACTCATTTCCAACTACATATTCTCATAATAAAATATTTTTCACGTAAACACATAATATTTTCATATTTTTTACTGCACTCCTCAAAATTCACTATATTACAAAACTCATTTTTGATGAAATAATGGGCATCAAACAAGGGCTCACTACAACAAAAATGTGATTATACGACAATATATTTTGCGATATAAAGTTGTCGCAATAAGTGATTTAGATCGACACGTTTTTCAAGTTTGTCGCAAAAAATTGATACAAAAAAAAATAAGTAACAAAAAATATATGACGACATTAAAAGTTATTGTGAAATGTGAGAATACGCAACAAATAATAAAGATAGTCGTTAAAAACTTGAGAGAAACAAGACACCAAAATATTTTTGGTGGAAAACTTATGGCGAAAACCTTTTTATTTCTTGCAACAAAGTGTTTGGATGCAATAAATCTACTTTTTGCGATGTGAAATATTTGCTGCTAAAAATTCTATAGATGGCGGAAAAAAACTACTAATGTTGTCGACTCTAATGTTGTCGTATAATAGGAGGCAAAGTGCCTCAAATGCACGTTGTTAATTTTTGCGATGTACTTCATCCATTGGTTTCGTTATATTTTGCAACGCTTTTTCCTTGTTGTCTTAACTTTTTTATACAACGTTCTTTTATTTTTTTGTAACAAGTGTTTGTTTTTTCTTCTAGCTAAAGATGACATTTTAATATGTAATATAACTTTTTAAATTCTTTTTTATAAATAGAGGAAAATTATTTAATAAAAGTTTTATAAAATGTTTAGAAAAAATTATCTCCGACAAATTCAAAAAAATATTAGACGATTAAACATTCAATCACTTAATAGCTTACAAAAAGAACTACTAGGCCAAAAGTTCGTTGGCTGTTGCTAAAAGTTTACATATTTGTCTTTTTTTTTTTTTCATTTNGCTAAAAGTTTACATATTTGTCTTTTTTTTTTTTTCATTTTTTTGCAACGTTCAATGAACATTATTAAAACCTCGTCTTATAGCAACATTCATCTATTGTAGCGAAAAAATTCTATCACAGTGAAATTGCTTCTGTAAAATCCCCTAATCAAAATTTTACAACCCATCTACTGGATGTCTAGATCGGACCCGACCCAATTAATAAAAACAAGAGCCTCTCAGTTAGGGCAAGAATGATATGCTTTCAACCGTCTTCCTCTTCCTCTCCTCTCATTCTCTTTCTTTGAGTCCCAATTCTCTTTCTCACAAGTCACGATGGTCACGGTAAGTGGCACCTTTGGAACTTGGTTGCCGCAGGGAGGTACGAAGGCTTCCGCGGCGGTGACGGGCATCGGGCTTAGTCTGTAGTGGCAGTGAGGGCTTGGCCGATTTATTCTGTACTGGATGTATCATAAGCAACTTAAAATCCTGTGTCTGATTTATTCTGTTTCGGCCTGAAAACAGATTGGAGTAGCTTATGAAAAGACCGCGATAATTTCAAAGTTTTTTTGTTCAGAATTTGTGGCGACAGTCGAAGGTGGCGATTGGATAAATACGGCATTGAGAGTGTTCTCGAATTTATGGCAGAATCGAGTAGTTTTTCAAATGCTTTCTTGTCAAAGGAATCATACAGTGAGCTTCCACAATCCCAAATCGGAGGCCGATTGGTAATCTCTGATTGCATTTCTTTTCTCTCTCTCTCTCTCTCTCTCATAGTTTGCTACATGCAATTGTTGCAGGTGTTGTTTCTATGATGAATTCATGAACCGATTCCAATGGTTCTCAGATTTTTATTACTATGGTAAAGACCAGCTGGTACGCTTCTTTTTGCAGTAATTCGTACTATTGACAAAAGTAACTTCTAAACTTAGTCCAATATGCTCTCGGCAACTTCTCCTCACTACTAAGATAATTTCACAGACTGGACATTGAGCATGTTGTTTTTGGTAAAGTCATTGAAGGCATGGATTCTGTGTATGTCATTGAGGGCGGAGGTGGAACCTACAGTGGGAAGTCTAGAAAAAAAAGAAATTATTCCCAAACAGTCGAGCTTGATGACGACGAAGGCAGCAAATTTTGTTTATAGTATCCTAACATTTAGCTATCTAGCTACATGTTTGGGAAAACTGTAATTTATTCTTTTTGTTGATTTCATATATATGGTTGGCTCTTTTAGAGTGAAAAAAAAATCAAGTAAATGATATAATTTGCACAATAATTTTATGTGTTGTAAAATAAAATACATGACAAAGATAAATAATCACGAAATAAATTAGCAAATGACTGTATTGTTGCACAAATAATGACGCGTCAAACTCTTTTGTGTTGAGAAATAAATTTAATTACAAACATCACTTGTTACATAATAAATTTTACTACAAATGTTGTCTTAAAATATATATTATGAAACATTTCAAACACATTGTAAATCATATTTCGTGACAAAAATGACTATTTATTAAAGATATATAACTACGAGCATGTGTTCTTGACTTGTTACAAAATAGAATAGGTAACTAAAGTTATAGCTTTAATATAATCTTCACGGCAAACATTTTTCTCGCAAAAACTTTATTGGAATATTTGTTGCGATAAACTAACTCCTCGCCTTTTAAATTTTTTGCGACATATATGCTTTGTGACTAGTATGGTTACAAATATTGTGTTGCCATTTCGTATTTTTTGCGTCAAACAAATAGTGTCGCGATTTTGTTAATGTGATGAATGGCCGAAAGTCATCGCAGAATACAATCCGTGACTCATATAGCGCGACATTAATACCTGCAACAAGCATATTGTCGTCGCAAATTACTTTTGCAACAAAATCCCAATTTTTGCGATCACATTTTTTTGTCGCGAAATCGATTATTTTTTGTAGTGGCTTAATAGTCCATTGTTATTGTTAGGTTTAATTATGTTATTGACAATTCTGTAAACAAAAAAGGGACTTAATTGTAAATGATGTAAAAAGTCAAATAGTAATGTGCTATTATGTGAAAATAGGTTTATTAGGTCTAGGGTTCTAGTATGGTAAAAGAAGGAAAATATGACGTGGATTTTAGCTTCACTGTTGCCATAGATTAGCTCGAGCATCAAAAATAGAACCTCCAACTCTCGATTGTCGCTGAGCTCTCACTCGAGCGACAGGGTTGTCCAGAAAATTTTTATTTCACGATTTAAAGGCTTTTTCCTTGACCCATTACTTTTCTAACTTACCTATAAATACCAAAACACATCTAAACATGAAAAAGAAGGTTGATCATTGAGAGAGCTTCATTGGAGAGAATACCATCATATTTCTACTTTCAACCTTCATCTTGTGAATTTTTTTGGTGAGAAAAACAACAATTTTGTAATCCAAATACCAAATTGTTCTTTCCATCACATCTGTCAGAGTTGCTGAAGAACGCAAAGTTCTTAGTGGATCCACAGAGATAAACGATTTCACAATGTTAGTAGTTGCTGCAGTATGGTACAATCCAGGAGAGCCTTGGAAACTGCAGTTGAGATTGGTGCAGGGGCACAGAATCCAAGAGAGCTATTGGAATTACAGTCAGGATATCAGATAGTATGTGTCGTCGTCTAGGCTGGTAGACTCTAAATTACAAATCGTTTATAGTGAATTGTTAACTATAAAGTGTCCGGAGTTTTTACGCTATTGGGGTTTCTCCGTGATCATACCGTGTGTTCTTGCTACTTTCATTATTGATTATATTAACTGTGGTATTTAAACGTAGGTTAAATTGACTTGTATGCTTAATCATCTAAAGATAATTAATTGGTGATATGTTGCTAATTAATTAATATTTTTAAGTCTATATAATATACCTATACACCCCCCTCTAGGTATTGTTAGGGTCGAACTACGTAACTTTTAGTTATATTTCCCATTTTCAAGTTCTTTCTCTCTATTTGTTGTTGCATTATTTATTTTCTACCCTCTGTGAACCATGCCCAATTATCACATCTGAGAATTTTTCAACTTAGTTTGTAGAAGATACAAATGGAGGCTGATAAGCATACAAATTCTTTGGAATAACAGCGTGAACCTGTATGGGTACTAGCCCTTGACGCTTTAAAGGGCAAAGTGCCACAACCTCCCAGGCATGATGGAATGACTGTGTAATATTTCACGATCAATGCTGTAGAGATTTAATCTATTCTATTTTTATTTTTATTTGTTTTTGAATTGTTTTGTTTAAATAACTATTATAATTTTTATTATAGTACATTCTTTTGGTTTAAGTTTTTTATTTATATGAATTCGTTTTAAGCACGTGACTATGACATCAAAGAGACAAATTTTCCAAAATTTTAAAAAATATGTTCCAATAACTAGATTTATTCGGTACCTTTTCTCATGTTCAAATATTTTAATTTTTTTTTCGCAAAAGTAAATGTATTATTTTTTGCACACATAAATTAATACAAAAATTATAGTTACAAGAAAAAATTATGTATATGTATAACTTTCCTTTTTTGTTAACAACAGATTTTTTTCTCATTGAACAAAAAAGAATATCTATTGTGAAAAGAGAGAAAAAAGAAGATAGAATAAAAGTCAATTGACTTATGTTTTATTAAGAACCAAAGCCTCATATTTATAAGGAAGAATTAAGTCTACAAGGGAATACAACACTCATAATGATTAGAGTACTTGTAGGGGTTTTAAAGTCATTAAATACTATTTTATTTACAATACACTCTATTGAATGGCCATTTACACAATAACTATCTCATTGAAACATTATTTGACAAAAATTTTATGAGACAAAAATGCCAACAAAAAAAAATAATAAATTGGAGTAATAATATGTTACCTCGTTGAAACCTTGTCAAGAATACCCATTGACACAAAACTTGATCGAAGGAAAAAGAGTACAACTACTCCATCTGATTTCAATTCTTGTA